TACAAAAAAATTGATTGTGCTTGATCGTTGGTAACTCTTACTTCCATCTTTCCTAGCTGAATTTTGAAATAGTTTGAACGTAGATTTACACTAGCGAAGGAACATTTCATCCGTGGCGCAAAAGGGAGTATTGCAGTAAGAAGTTTCAGTTGTCATGCGCTACCGATAACCTACCTAAGTTTATTACGACAGACGGTAGCAGTTAAGATAGTTGGGCTTAGCGAACTAGAAAAAACTCCAGCAGATAACCTTTCGCCGCTGCTAGAACTATGGGAGGTCGATGGTTACTGCTTCATGACCGTATTGAAGCCAGATAACAAATCAATACCGTTATCCTACCATAACAAAAGGAGTTGTGTTCTATAATAGGTAACCGCTTTTTTGGAAAGGAATCATCAAGGCAGAGAAAAGACCCGGATTGAGAAGAATCCACGACCACGATTTTTGGAACACCCTGTACTTTATCAACCTATTTTGTGCGATTTATAAAAAAATCATCCCGTTACTTTAATCCCATTTTTCTGGACCTCCATTTTAAACTTATATCAATTTTAGGTACATTGCGTTAAATAAGTCACGATCCTAATCACTCTTTGCGCCTCGAACAAGACTTATCTCTCGCCAATTATCGAAGTGTTGAAGGTGGACATAGAACCTCTTATAAAACCAAAAATGCTTGCTACAATAATGAGCAAAATTCCCGCGTTGCTGCCTGATAATGTTAATCTATGGTATGCCACTGCACTCGTCGCTGGAGCTGTTAAGAGCTATCTTGAAAAACGTAAGTCAATTTTTACAACTCACCTTTTTTGAGGTGAACTATCGTTTGCTTTTACTGAAGCAACTTTGTAATAATCTTTAGGTTCGCTTCCTGCCTTAGCAAGTGAACTTATGAGCGGAGCGGCTATGGGTGCAGCCTCGTATTGGAAAATACCCTACAGAGCACTTGGTGTAGTGGGTGAGTATAAAAATTTATAAAATAAACGGAATTTGTAAGCGAAATGAAGCAACATACAAAAAATACAACATTTCACTTGGATCTTTTTTTGATGGAGTTGAAAATGTAATTTAACCACCATAGGCACGAACACGTGAGACCGCGCCGCAACTGCTTGCCTGTAACGATCAATTTGCATGAGGGAATACATGAGCCGCGCGCATGTGGTGTTTTCGTTCCACGTGCCAGTTGCGGGCACATAGAGACTATAATGCTAATTCCAGAATCTTTATTCTAGGAAATCTTTTTATGGCACATCACTCATAGACACAAACCCGAAACTCTTCGGAAACTGTTCAAACCTCTGAGCTTAAGTACCTTTGGAGTTGAGCTTAGCTTTCCAAATTCCCAAGGATTTTTTTTCTTTTTATCTTAGGGACCTGCTCTCCATAAGATAACCATACTGCAATCCTGTAAAACAACTCATTTCAGCTGTCTCAGCATATGTGGGCTGGATAATGCTAAAGCGATATCTAGCTATGAAGAAACGCAAGATGATCCCATCTGGTCTTACTGCGTTGGCGAGGTACGTTTTTTTATCACTCTTTCCACCTTCGGCTTTCAACAACAGCAATCTCATTGACTGCATTTTTTCAGTGTTTTCACTCTACTCGTACAACTTAATCATATGCGCAAGACGTGGAGCTTCCACTAGATGAAGCCACTTCATTCATCCTAACTGTTACTTTTTGGAAGCTGTAGTTTTAGATGTTTAACAGTTTTGAGATCTCATATCATTGCAAATGATGTGCTACCTCAAATGAACGGAAAAATAAAAATAAATAGCCTAGTTGTTCTTTTTCTTCACAGTTTTGAATTTGCAACACTGCAGACTAAAGGCCTACACCCAGATGGCAACATATAGGAAGCTGAGAACAGAAGCAAAAGATGGAGTGAAACAGGTGAAACAAGGAGTAGAAATTGGGTGAAGTCCACCAAGATTGTGTTACCTTGTGACTTTCTTGAATGTAAGATCAAGATTATAATTTCAATTTTCAACTGACTTTCTGCAATTTCTCGTTCCTCAAGGCCTGGAAAATAAACATATTAATCAATTTCATCAAATGCCCAAAACCTGGAAAAAATTTAAAATTCACTGAGATTGACGCTTGAAAAATTCCATATCTTGTTTCCATAATTACCGTTTACCTAACAATATCAGGCACTCTATTCCGGTCACGAATCTTGCCGTCACTTATGTGTTAGAGAACTGGCAACCGAGTTTTTATCTTTGAAGGTTTCTCGGATTCATCGAAAGAAGAAACTATGACGTCAAAGACAAATAATTAGTTCTGCAGTGACGCACGACATCCAAAATGTTCCTTTTTTTCGAATTGTTTGGTCAGCTGTTAGCATCACGATACTGTTTACTTGCTCAGATGATGACTTCACAATAATATGCCCTGAATAATGACGATGCATGTGGTTGAGACCTGAATATAGCGTATCTCTGGAAATGAATTTCGCAACCAAATAAAGTAAATAAATCTTTCGTGGAAGTGCTACGAAAAGATGTGCAAAAAAGGACTACAATTATGATTTAGGTACAATTACGGCACCAAGCTGTACGCGGGTGTTGAGACTCCTGGGCGAAGGATGAGCCCGTATAAGAAGCAATGAGAAATGTGAGACGCAAGAGATTGGTGGTTCAGTGTCTATTGTGATTGTACCGAGAACAACGAGTGTGACCTTAGGTGGCCCAAGGGTGAAGGAAGTGGGTACCTCCCAACTGCACAAGGTAGGCAAAGCCCGCCTTCTCATAAAGTCAGATATGGTAAAGCAAAGCATCCGTTCTACGACGATAGGGAGAGCTCGTACGGTGGAAGCGTGATAGCAGGCAAATTTGTGAACATAAGACTTAGTGGAACTTTTCCAAAAAAGAGGAAAAAAGTATGTTCTCGCAAATCTATCTTTTGCGAAAACCAGCTTCTATTTCAAAAAGCGTAAAAATACATTAATGTCCCCAGTGGAGAAATCTGACCTGAGCATGAGTTTCCAGGTTGCTGTTAAGTAGTGCTCGTTAGACATTAGAACAGTGGTTCATGTTAACTATTTCACTCAGAATCATAGTCTTTTCAGAGTTTCAGGGCAGTATGCGAAGTGATTCAGTTATATCATGACGGTTTAATCCTTAAGCAAGCAAACCCTTCAACAATTCCATGCTGTAGACATCACTATACTTTCTAATCTTTTATTACACAGTACTATGGTTCTTGTTAGCTGTAGTACGCGAACTGTGATCTAATCAAAATACTTGAGCCTTAGCAGGGCAGGACCTGTATTTTGGCCTTCTGCAATTACTGCACGATTGAAAAATGTTCATTTAAATGTGGTTGAATTTTGAACTCATCTCGATGCACACCCTTTCAAACAAGCACTAAAGTAGAGATTGTAAAATCGGTTTACAAATGAAAAATCATTTTTGATGCAATTATTTCGTAAAAAGGCCTACTTGAGTACTGTTCAACTTTTGCTTCGGACTAAATATTAAAAAAGTAGCGTTGCCGTAGAGCAATCATTTTAATGCACTAAAAGCAAGTCAAGGTTTTTTTCTTCTAATTCGACAGAGTTGTGGTCATTACGGCTTTTCGTTCCTTCTTACCACTTGATTGAATCCGCTTACACAAGGAAAAGTTGGCTAAACGGAAAAAAAAACCAAATTTACTTTTGCAAATTGTCAAGCCATGCAAACAGCCCACCCTTCGATACATGGAGGTAGTTGCTACCGAAGCGAGTCGTGTGCGGTCTATAGGAAGGAGTAAATATTGTGGAAGTCTTTCAAAGTTACCGATTGAAAAAGTCCTCCCAATTAGCTTTTTTATTTCACTTTTTGCCCTTGATTTTGATTGTGTCCCTGATTCTTTTTCACATTAAAGCGACATTGAGAACATTTCATGATTTATAGGCCT